CTGGATAGCTATGTTGTCATTTTCTTATTGACAATCTAAGGGAAAAGAGGTCGGTGCCCCTGACTAAATAGTCAGGAATTGCATGTTTTAAAAATTCTTGTGGCACACTGATTGAAAATTGCTGGTCTAGATCAAGGATCAGCAAACTTTTTCTGTTGAGGGTCAGATAGTATTTTAGAGTTTATGGGCCATATGGTCTCTGATTCAATTACTCAACTCAACCATTGTAGCATGAAAGCAGCTATAAACAATACATAACAAATGTGTGGCTGTGTTACAGTAAAACTATTTATGGACACAGATATGTGTCACAAAATATTATTCTTCTTTTGATTATTTTCAGCTATTTAAAATGTAAAAACCATTCTTAGTTCGTAAGCCTTACAAAACAGGCTAGAATCGGCCTTCAGGCTATAATTTGCTATCCCCAGGTCTAGACCATTAGATTTTTGTGTTTGGGTTCAGGTCCAGAGCCCCAGCTAGTATTAGTAATAACTTTGACTAGCATTGTTTCTTTGAATAAACGCCATCAAAAGTTCATGTCTTTGAACTACATACACAATTCACATCTGTATTAGTTTGGGTAAAATGAGGAGACATAAACCACACAGTAATTTAAATAGGAAATCGAACATAAAGAATTATTATACAGCACTGGGCAGTATGGCTCAATTGGTTGGACCATCGTCCTATGCACTGAAAAGGTTGCTAGTTAGATTCCTGGTCAGGGCACATACCTAGTTTGCATGTTCAATCTCTGGTTGGGGCGCGTAGGGGGGCAACCAATATTTTTCTCATACACTGATGTTTCTCTCTCTCTCTCTCTCTCTTTCTCTTTCTCTCTCTCTCTCTCTCTTCCCCTCTCTCTAAGATCAGTAGAACATATCCTTGGGTGAAGATTTTTAAAGTATATATTATACAAAGATAGAAGAGTAACTATAAATATTGAAAGAAAACTCAGCTGAGGTAGAGTTCTAAGGAAGGATACACAGGAAAGGAGAGTTCCCTCCCCAAGACTGGGGATCAGCCCTCGCTGGAGGAGTGGTTGCAGCCCACTGATGGTAGAGAAGTGGGGGTAGGGGTGGGGGGTTGCACACGCCAGAGCTGGCAAGCAGGAATAACCGTCTGGAATGCAGGCCAGCCAAACGTGGTAGGCAGGTACACAGAGGGAGCTGGATGTGGACAGAGAACCAAGATGTTGATGTTGATACAAAACCTGGACCACACAGTGTCTGCATCTGAAGAGCTGCATCAAACAAACCTATGAGGCACAAGCGAGCTGGATGCAGGCCAGCCAAACGTGGTAGGCAGGTACACAGAGAACCAAGATGTGGATGTTGATACAAAACCTGGACCACGCAGTGTCTGCATCTGAAGAGCTGCATCAATCAAACCTATGAGGCACAAGCGAGCTGAGGCTGATGGGCAGATGAGCAAAGACAGTCAGAACACTGCTATAGGCGCTGCAAGAAATGGAGACTGGAAAGCTGCAAGAACCTAGGGTACTTCTGTGCACAGCTTGAGCTGGGGCAGCTAAAGGTAACTGCCAGGACCCTGGTGTGCATGCACATAGAGCTGAAGAGAGGGTCTGGGGAGTAGCAACCAGGGAGGGGAGTTCTGGGCCTCAGCACATGATGAAAGTCTGGCTGCTTGCCAGAAAGCCAGTCCAGCCCTAGACTGTATGCCCATGGAGATGAAGAGAAGGTGAAAGAGCAGTGGTGACCTGTGCTGTTTGGGCCCCCGGCTAACCCACCATTGCCTGAGTGGAGAGCTGAAGAAAACAAAGGATGGCCAATCAGTGGAGAAAGCTGTGTCCTGCAGGCATTTAGCATGAAGAAACTGCGCCGGTCTGGTCAAGGAGTGGGGGGAAAGGGTACTCCCGGGACCCTGGTGAACTGAGCCAGGAAAGCACCTCCTTCCTTCCTAATTTGCTCCAGAGCCCACTACTGATAAACCTCATGCCAACTGACAAAGGAAAAGGACTTCAAGGGCCCAGATCCATTTTCACAGATCAGGCTACAAGAGGTGAATTTAGAGCTGAGACACTATATTAATAAGTGGCACCATTCCACACACACAAAAACATATTCTACCACATAGGTCAGCACAATGCAAGACTTAGATGGGGAAAGAGGATAGCCAGTTCAACCTACCCTCTAGTAAGCCATCAGTAAGACATCCCCTGAGGTCTCCCAGATTGGAGAGGGTGCAGGTCGGGCTGAGGGTCCCCCCTCCCACATGCACAAATTTCATGCACCGGGCCTCTAGTTCTTATAAGCACAGATAAGATGATGTTGGCTTTCTGCTTGGATTCTTGGAGTGATGAGAACTTTTATCTTTTGCAAATATTTCTCCTGTTGGAAAGCTGCAACACCAAGGACTTCCAAAACAAACCCTATGATGCCTGTCTTCTCTTTTAGTCCACATTACCATCGCCATAGTTGTCCTGTAAATTTTGTCTGGGCAATGGCAACACTTCTGACTTCCAAATTTATCCTAGTCTCAGTGCTGTCCTTCGTGTCTTCTCTTTCTCTTAATTTTTCTGTTTCCCTGTATCATCTCTTCCAGATTTTCACCCCTGTTTTGGCAGAAAACCTGATCTGAAGTGTTTTCAGGCATACCTCCAGTATTACCAAATTTATTTACACTAAGATTTTCACAGCTTGGCCCCTCTCTCAAAAGATGAGTAAGCCTTGCCCTAGCCGGTCTGGCTCAGTGGATAGAGCATCGGCCTGTGGACTGAAGGGTCCCAGGTTCGATTCTCGTCAAGGGCACATGCCTGGGTTGTGGGCTCAGTCCCCAGTAGGGGGCGTGCAGAAGGCAGTTGATCAATGATTCTCTCTCATCACTGATGTTTCTAGCTCTCTCTTCCTCTCCCTTCCTCTCTGAATAAAAAATATATTTTTTTAAAAAGACAAGTAAGCCTCTGTTAATGGCAGTGTCTACTAGGCACAGGGAAAGGTACAGGCCTGCTTTCACTCTAGATCAGTAATGGCGAACCTTTTGAGCTCGGCGTGCCAGCATTTTGAAAAACCCTAACTTAACTCTGGTGCCGTGTCACATATAGAAATTTTTTGATATTTGCAACCATAGTAAAACAAAGACTTATATTTTTGATATTTATTTTATATATTTAAATACCATTTAACAAAGAAAAATCAACCAAAAAAATGAGTTCGCGTGTCACCTCTGACACGCGTGTCATAGGTTCGCCATCACTGCTCTAGATTATTGGAACAAACACTGCAAAGAGGCAGGTCAGATAAAAACTATTGTACATGGCATTAAAATTCACATTAAGCTCTCTTCCTCCCTGACAAAAAAATAACCTAGTTCCCAAAGGAAGTGAGGGGTCGGGAAAAGGGGAACAGATGGCCAGCAGCAGTGAGGATTCTGCAGAACCAACTCCTCCTTCAAGCTGGTGAGCAGGGTAAGCTGGGACCCGCCCTGTGGTCTGTCTACATCAGCAGCAGATGAGGGCAAAGCCTGTCCCCAGGGCACCTGGCTTTGTGAGATTTTCCACTCCTCAGCTGGAGAAGGGGTGCTTATATCCTCTTCAGAACACTGGTGGATGGAACTCTAGGAATCTTGTTTCCTTTTTTGAGGATCCTAATGTCGTGTTTCAACCTATCCCAAGTAATTTTCTTTAATTAAAGGTCAGTTGAGTGCTTGGCTATTCTCCAAAATGATGTCCAGATTAAAATTAATGAACAGGGTATACTCTTTTTTTAAAAGGAAGGTGCTGGTTTTCTTGTTTGCATTTTTCTCTCCCAATAGCAGGACATGAAGGAAGGGCCTTGGGCTCATCGGGAATGCAAACCCTAGAGATGACATAGCCATATACATTCTTCCCTCTGTGGCTTCTAGTTCTGACCAGAAGCTAAGGGTTGATGTGATAGGGGTAGTTCTGGGAAAGGAACACTAGGGGAACACTCCCATGCGGATACCTTCCCCTCACCAGAGCTGACCCAGGACCCACTGCAGAGCTGAGCGCACGGCTGAGGGAGTGAGCAGAGGCCTTGGAGGCAGTGACTCCTTCAGACTCTTCTACTGGCCCCTCCTTTGATGGGGTGTTAAAACCACTCTGTGCTTTTGCTTTTCAAAGCCTGATGTCCAATTTTTGACCTGGTAAACCCCAACTAAGCAAGCAAATTTGCTGGAGTCTAGGCAGACCCTCCTTCTAGAGTGAACGGTTATTGGCCCAGGACATAGAAATCAGAGCCAGGGAGTGTAGAGTTGTCAAATTGAGCAATTTGGGCTCTGAGGGAGGGGGACTAGGAAAGGGTGTGGCCAAAGGGCCGGGTCCTTGGGCTGAAAAGACAATGGTGGTGTATGGCTAGGCTGTCTTGGACCAGTTAGTAAAAGGATGATGTGGGGTGTCATTAGCAAGACCCTTGGAGGGCTGTGGGGACATGGCCTTGAAGCTGTACTTAGGGGTTTTTAGACCTATGAGTAGCTAAGAGGCCCAAAGCATTCATTCATGACTGGAGAACAGGGCATGGTTAAAAGACCTGAGCTTAGACTATGGAAGGCTGCATAGGGAGTATACTTACAGAATCCCTGAAAATGCAGGATGTGAACAGACCATTAAGGACCAGTGATGGTTTGATGGGGATGAGAAGGGTTCAGCAGAGACCCGAGTAGAGATTAGAAAGGAGAAAACCCAGGGAAGGGAGCCTTCACAAAAGCCAAAGGGAGTGATGAGTTAGAAGAGGCAATCCAGGCCTTGGAGACCTGGGAAGTTCTCCCCGCAGCTGGCATGTTTCCAGAACCCCGATCACCCTCCCCACGCAAAGGCTCAGATAACCTCAGATCTATTTGGACTTATTTTTTCTCAAGGGTTGAATTCATGCAGGAAATCTAGGCTATGAATGTGAATTCCTTTCCAGATGGATGAGAGACTAAGGTGTGCCGCTGGAGCTTATCATTTTACTATAACAAAAGCGCAAAACATGGGAAGGAACTGGAGTATGAAAATAAAGCAAGTTGTCGTTCTTAAGTTACTTAAGTAAAACTTTACTTTTTTACTCCATCTGATTACAAAAAGTGGGGGGAAACCATGTCTATTTAGTGGCTGGGGCCATTTTTACGCTCATACAGAGAATGGGGGGTGGGGGGTGTCAAGACTTGTGAAACCCCTTCAAAGGTGAGGTAGTGGTTTGTGGTGTCAAGAATGTCCTCTTAGTCTGTTGAGGAGGAGCATCCGGATAAGGCTTCACCCACAAACCCTGCCCACACAGATCTTCTCTCAGAGTGACCTCTGGTGCAAGACGAGGTGTAACTAATATAACTGATTGCTCAAGCATCTTACAGACTCCTCCCCTGCCTATATAAAGCTTCCCACAATATAGCTGTTCTCTGAGGCATCCTGAGATGCACTTTTCCTAAATCCATGCCCATTCTGCCCACACACAGTTTCTATGCAAACGCTGAGGTCTGTGAGGGGTGACTATGGCCACAACCATGTCCGCGCTCCTTGTACACTTAAGATGTCTTAGAGTGGAGTCCCTGGAGAGACAGTGAGATGGAGAATTAAGTGGTTTATTGGTGAATGAGGGCTGGACTGGGCAGAGGACGAAGCTGACCTGCAATGTGTTCACAACTGAGATTTGATGGGCATCTCTCGATCCAGGATGACCCTTTGGACACAACTGAGTCCAGGGTTGAGGTTCTGTCTCCCCATAGCAGTCAACCATTGGCCAGGAGCCAGCCCTTAGGAAGGTGCAGTTCCCTGTGGCTGACAGCAGGTCCTAGGAAAGACTTCGTCTCTGCAGCATCAGCACCAGTTATCAGGAGCTGCAGGAGTGTTGGTCCTAATGAGGTTATCTGGGCAGAGCTCCACGTACCCCCACATAAGGATCTCTCTACGGCATGAGAAGAAGGCTGGCTGATCACAAGGGTTTTGCCCACAATCCCTACAAACACGCTGCTCCTCTCCGAGTGTGCCACCTTGTGCCTGCCTGCCTGCCATTGGATATTCGATAAACGTTGACTTATTGCGACCGCCTCATCCACAGTCCCCACACACACAACGCCTCCCACTTAAGTGTGGCTAGAGTTACCCACACTTAGGCTCCTCTGCTGAATGTGTCCTCTGTGCCTGATGAGAGTCAACACATCCCTGAAGGTACACTCACTCCACACACACAGACCCCAGGTGTCTCTCTGGTGTAAGATGAGATTTGACGGATTGCTGGGTCTTGTCCGTGATCCCTGGAAACATGCTTTTCGCCAAGTGTTTCCTCTGGTGTGTGATGAGATTTGACCTGTAGCTAAAGCTTCGCCCACAGTCCCTGCAAACATGCTTCTTCCCTGAGTGTGTCCCCTGGTGAATAACGAGGAATGACTTCTGGCTAAAGCTTCGACCACACTCACTGCACACGTAAGGCTTCTCCCCGGAGTGCGTCCTTTCATGTATGATGAGGTCCGACTTATAGAAAAAGCCTCGCCCACACTCCCTACATATGTAAGGCTTCAGGTCTGAGTGTGTCTTCTGGTGCCTGATGAGATTTGACTTGTAGCTAAAGCTTCGCCCACACTCCCTGCAAACATGCTTCTCTCCTGAGTGTGTCCCTTGGTGAATAAGGAGGAATGACTTCTGGGTAAAGCTTCGGCCACACTCACTGCACTTGTAAGGCTTCTCTCCCGAGTGTGTCCTCTGGTGTTTTCTGAGGGTTGACTTATCACCAAATCCTCGTCCACACTCCAGGCACACAAAGGGTTTCTCCCCTGAGTGTGTCCTCTGGTGTCTGATGAAAGATGACTTCTCACTGAAGCCATGCCCACACTCCTGACATATATAGGGCTTCTCTCCTGAATGAGTCCTCTGGTGTTTTCTGAGGGTGGACTTGTAAGCAAAACCCCGTCCACACTCCGGGCACACATAGGGCTTCTCCCCAGAGTGAATCCACTGATGTCTAATGAGGACTGAATTATTTCTAAAGCTCTGCCCACACTCCCTGCACAAATAAGGCTTCTCTTCCGAATGGGTTTCTGTGTGTCTGTTCAGATTGGACTTCTTGCTAAAGCCTCGCCCACACTCCTTGCACACATACGGCTTCTCTCCTGAGTGTGTCCTCTGGTGATGAACAAGGATTGCCATCAGGCTAAAGCCTCGGCCACACTCACCACACACATAAGGCTTCTCCATTGAGTGCGTCCGATGGTGTCTGTTGAGGTTTGACTTATTGTTAAAGCCTCGCCCACACTCCCTGCAAACATAGGGCTTCTCTTCTGAGAGGGCCACCTGGTTTACAGCAAAGTTTGATTTCAGACTACAGTCTAGTTCATGCTCGTTACAGCTGCCTACTCCGGATCTCAGGGTTCCTAACTCCGCTCCTCTGTCTGTTTGCACAGGGCGTACCCTCTGGGCTGGCTTGGGCTCTATTTCTACTACTGTGTTGCCTTCTCTAGGACTTGCTGACTGTCTTCGGGGTGGGCTGGGAACAGCGCCTGAGGTTTCTCTCTCCTCTGTCCTCACAGACAAGGATCTGAAGCCACCTTCTCTCTCTTGACCTTTTGTGTTTTCACTCCAGCAGCTTTGAGAAGAAAATTTCTGCTCCTGATGCCCTGGGCCAGAATCCCCTGGATGGAAGTCACGTAAGTCCAAGAAGATCGGAAGTACATGTTGGCTGAGGAGAGGCTGATGGGAGAAGGCCAGAAGGCAAGAGGAACAGGAGTCTGTTTCTGGCTTTGATTCTGCCGGAGAAAGAGTGTTCAGTTAGAGAAGCCCTAAGTGGGCAGCTGGCTGTTCCGCCTTGTCTTAGGACAAAGAGTATCTTCCTGCCACACCTACTATTGATAATAAATGTACAACAAAATTCGTTTTCCACCAATAATTCCTCTATATTCCATTTCTAAACATTCCATTTTCTATTACAATCCAGTAAAACCACACCAGAAACATCCTCTGCATGTCACTCAGACTAGGAGCCTCTCAGGTAAGCATTCTGCCTTGTAAACAGCTTCAATACTGTCAGCCATTTCTTTCTAGTAAGTCATCTAAGCCATCGACACTCACATTGATATGCTCTTCACATTGATATGCTCTTGTACTTGGAGGTAACAGGCTCTATGACCGACATGAAAATCTCCTTCATGACTTTTCTTATCACAGAAAACAAAAAAACGGATAAACATAAAAAGTCACTTGATCTGGAGGGCTTCCAAACACGGGAGTATGTACATGAAACAGGGGTTAAAGAGACTGCATATGAAATAAATCTGAATCTCAGGTTGTCTACCCACAAACACATACTTAGAAATTTTAAGTGCTGGGTTCTCTACTAAATATTGTGGATTCTGCAGTGGACAAGGAATACATGATCCATGATTTCAGGATTTTGGCACCTTGTGCCCAAACCAATCCCATTACAATGACTGGCTAATGGGATTTGCTTAGGCCAATGGGAGATGGGTGACAAGTTAGTGCTACTTTCAAACATATTTTTTTAAATATGTTTTTATTGATTTCAGAGAGGAAGGAAGAGGGAGAGAGAGATAGAAACATCAGTGATGAGAGATGTTTGATCGGCTGCCTCCTGCACGCTCCCTACTGAGGATCAAGCTAGCAACCCAGGCATGTGCTCTGACCAGGAATCAAACTGGTGACCTCTTGGTTCATAGGTCGGGACACTCAACAACTGAACCACCCAGAATGGGCTCAAACACATTTTAAGAGCCACAATGTGGTTTCTTCGTTCCATTTTTCTCCTCTTCTTTAAGAATCTCATGACCCAGACAAAGACTGGTTCTTTTGCCTGGATTGCAGAACCCCAATGGAGCTAAACTCCTACCTGAACTGTACATAAGAGGTATTATAAGAAATGAACATTTGCTGAAGTTCTGTGTTGTTATCACAGCATTACCTAGCCTATACTAACTGAAATAACTCACCTATGAAAGCTTTAAAGATTATTTCAGGGGAAATTGCCCCACTTATTTCCAACAGTACCCTTGAAGAAGAGACATTGGAACATGAATATGTGAAGAATTACAGGACAAGAGATGAGTTTAGGAGGGAAAAGAGTATGACCTCAATTTTTGATAAGTTTGAGAATAAACTTATATTCTTGTAACCAAACAGAAAAGCGCAGGAGAGATAGTGACAGAGAAAATGGGTTCATCATAATATGTGATGAGCAAAATCATTAAAGTTCACAAATTGTTTAAGAGTTTGAATATAGACGACAAAAAAAAAAAAAAGAGCATGTGACACTAATCCAAAAAAGAGAGAGAGAGGAAACCAAAAAGAGAAGTGTAAGAGGCTAGGGAACTGCAGAATACTGTGGTGTTGAGCAAGACAAAGGAAACAATTTCAGGAAATCCAGTTTTTCCTTATTGAGCCTAATTTGAACCAGGTCATTTCAACATTTTCCTCTGAACCCAACAATGTATTAACATAGAGAAAGAGAATAATATGATCAGAGAAAAATCAAAATAAAAATAAAATCTAGTTAGGTTGAATAGCTAAGGCCAAATCAAAACACACAAAACCAGACTGAAATGGATGAATCCAACTTAAATAGAGCACACACTAGATGGAACCAGATCAAAGCATATCAAAGAAGATGAAAATGGAACAAATAAAATCTGATTAACTGATATCATGGAAAAAGCCAGGCCATTTGAGGAAACTCCTGAAGAAACTCCTGCCTGAAACTAGTTTGTGTTTCCAAAAATGTGACTCTCCAGATGCTTTATCTGGAAATATGGAAATATCCAGAACTGCATGATCCAGTATGGTAGCCACTAGCCATACATGTTTACTGAGCACCCGCAATGTGGAGAGTCTGAACTGAGATGTACTCTGAGCATAAAATACACACCAGATTTTGAACACTTAGTACAAAAAAGTAAAATAATTTTTATACTGATTACATGTTGAAATAATATTTTGATATATCGGGTTAATAAGTAAGATTATTAATTTTACCCATTTATGTCTACTTTTCTAAAGGTGGTTACTAGGAAATCTAAAATTATCCATGTGGCTCACATTTTATTTCTACTACATAGTGCTGATCTAGAACAAAGGGGGGTGGGGGGGAACTACAGCCTAAAACCATCATCCTGCCCTCTGTTTTTGTACAGTCTACAAGCTAAGAATGGTTTTTAAATTTTTAAAGAGTTGAAAACAAGTCAAAAGAGTAATAGTTCATGATATATAAAAATTACATGAAATTCAAAATTCAATGTCCACAAATAAAGTCTTCTTGGAACACAGTCATACTCATTTACACATCATCTGTGGCTACTTTAGCACTACTAGGGCAGAGTTGAGAGTGGTTAGAAACCATATCACCCACAAAACCTAAAACAGTCACGATCTGGCCCTTTATAGAAAAAGTGGCCAATCCCTGAAGCAGAGTAACATTGCAATCAAAAGCATTTATCAACCTAGACTTAAAGAATAAATGTATGTTTTTAAATAAAAGAAATAATCTGGCTTATGAAACTCAAAAGCCATACAAACTCTGACATTTAATTTCAACTTCTGTCGCAGAAGGCATTTCTCACCACTCTCCCCCTTGCTAACTGTGCTTCCAGTCTCAATTCCTTCTGCCCACAGGCATATCCCTTCCTTAAGGTCTTGGCACCAAATAAGTGTGCACCTGAAATGCCCTTGCCCTAGAGAGCCAGAGTTCTAACTCCCTCACCACTTTCTGTCTTTGGTCAAATGTTCCCTCCTCGCTGATTTCCATTAACTGATTTCAAAATTCAGCCAGCCACCCTGTCACACTCAATGCTCCTTTATCCTGCTTCATTTTATTATTATTATTATTTTACTAGGTAGTGCTTATCCCTTTCTAACATAACATCCCTGTATATCAGCGGTTCTCAACCTGTGGGTCGAACAACCCTTTCACAGGGGTCACCTAAGACCATCGGAAAACACATATATAATTACATGTTGTTTTTGTGATTAATCACCATGCTTTAATTCTGTTCAATTTGTAACAATGAAAATACATCCTGCATATCAGATATTTACATGACGATTCATAACAGTAGCAAAATTACAGTTATGAAGGAGCAACGAAAATAATTTTATGGTTGGGGGTCACCACAACATGAGGAACTGTATTCAAGGGTCGCGGCATTAGGAAGGTTGAGAACCACTGCTGTATATGAAGCTATTTGTTGTCTGTCTCCATACACTAGAAAAAGCCCCCATGGGCAGGGGTTACTATTTCATTGACTAATGTGTTTGTTCTAAGTGTCTAGGACTTTTTCTGGCACAGGATAAGTGGCCCATAAATCTCTACTGAAATAATGAAGAAAGACCATAGCCTCACCCAACGAAAGCAGGTTCCTGTAATTCTCCAGCATCACTTCTTTGTACAGGATCCTCTGCTTAGAGCTCAGGAGCTTCCATTCTGCCTGTGTGAAGACCACAGCCACGTCCCTGAATGTAACTGGTACCTATAAACAAGCAACAATTAATGAACAGCAAGTCACCGTCCATTTTCCCCGTGCGAGGAGTCTATCTAGTGGCCCTGGGGAGTCTTGATATGTAAGAGTTGGTCTAATTCTTTTCAGGGTACACAGTTCTCCATATCAAATTCTTCTAGCCATTACTATAGCTGTGTGTTAAAATCTGGGGATAGTGTCCGATTGGTGTGGTTCAGTGGTTGAGCACTGACCTATGAACCAGGAGGTCACGGTTCATTCAATTCCCAGTCAGGGCATATGCCCAGGTTATGGGCTCAATCCCCAGTATAGCGCACGCAGCAGGCAGCTGATCAATGATTCTCTCTCATCATTGATGATTCATTCATTCTCTCTCTCTCTCTCTCTCTCTCTCTCCTTTCCTCTCTGAAATCAATAAAAACATATATTTTTTAAAAATCTGCGGGTAGCATAACTGAGGTATACAACACATTCCTGGCCCTTGGACACTTACGATTTTTTTTGGAGAAATGATTTGTGAATCAATTTGAAACATGAAGCAGAATTCAGAAAAGTGACCTTGAGGATTCATTATGGAAGAATTCTGAGATGGAAGAGTTCAGCATGGGCTGGAAAACTCCCATTTAAAAGTAACTTTGTGCCCAGCCGAAGAGGCTCCGTTGGTTGGGCGTTGTGCAGTGCACCAAAAGGTTGCCAGTTCCACTCCCAGTCAGGGCACATGCTCGGATTACAGGCTCCATCTAGGAGGCATGCAGGAGGTAGCTCTCACATCAATTTTTCTCTCTCTCTCCCTCTCCCTTCCTCTCTCTAAAAAATTCAATTAAAAATATCTTCAAAAGGAACTCTGTGTCCAACAAACAACTCATAACCAGTAAGAGGAGAATAAATTTACAATCCAAGAGGAGATTATAATTTAACACAGAACTGAAAAGTTGTTTTCATTTTCCATATCAGGAAAATTTATTTACACTTTCTCTCATTCTCATATGAATGTATTCTTTCTTTCTCCCCATGCCTCTCTCCCTACCTATATAATTTTTTGTTGAATACTGGACATTTTAGTAAAAGTCTGTGGCAACTCTGGATACCAACCCTGCTCCCTCCCCAGGCGGCTGCTGTGGTCACTTGTTCATGTTTTCTGACTGGTGTGGACTAGTTCAAGAAAGGCTATTGTCCCTGAAACTGTGGCTTGTCAGCAGATGAAGCCTTGGACATGCACACCCTGACCCTCCCCCTCCAGAAATGACAGTCTTTTTAGCAGGATTCTCTTGTGTCTCTCCGGCCTGACTATATTGGTATCACACCCAGCTAGCCTCCACCAATAGCTAGCTGATTACTCTACTGTTTTCAACAACGTCTTAGGGAATAAATGGCTCCCCTGTCTGACCCAATTAAAGTCAGGCCCTGTCCCTTTTACAGGGGTAAGTTTTTTTTTAATATATTTTTACTGATTTCAGAGATGAAGGGAGAGAGAGATAGAAAGATCAATGATCAGAGAGAATCACTGATCGGCTGCCTCCTGCACATCCCCCATTGGGGATCAAGCCCACAACCCGGGCATGTGCCCAGACCGGGAATTGAACCGTGACCTCCTGGTTCATAGGTCCACGCTCAACCACTGAGCCATGCCGACTGGGCTACAGGGATAGTTTTAAGGCCAGTATCTGAGGCTCCAGCAGGGCTCTTCTCAGCTCTCTCTTTCCCTGGTTCTCTCCCTTAAACTTTTAGCTGATTTGCCATTTTGCTTGTTGCTATCATGGATCTTGAAGCTGCCTCTTAATTGCTCACCACAAAATCTCCATTGCTCTCAAGAGCACTCTTAGGTTTCAACATCCTTATGCTCTGTTCCAAATAAAGCCAGTGCCGTTAAGGAGTGCTACACCGGCCTTTGTTCTTCCAACCTGCCTCTCCCCCTGGGCAGGGTCTCCGCACCAGTGCTTAGAGCTGGGAGCAGAATTGGCAGCCACTTCTCTCAGAGTGACATTCCTGCTCTAAGAGTGGTACCCTGGGGGATGGGGGGCTGAGGGGGTGGAAGCTCCTTTCTTCTCAGCTTGCCTCTCCTGGCACAGAATCTCTGCCCTCTGAGGAAGGGGAGAAGGCAATAGGGCCCTTACTGATTCTTGACCTCCTAGGCCTGGGACAGAGCTTCTATCCCACCAACAGGGGCTGGTGGAGAAAGAAAACCCCAGACCTCTCTGCCCCTCGCCTGCAACACTGATCCGGAGGGAATGAGAAGTGCTGGTGGCTTATCTCCCCAGGGAAAAAGTACAGTCCTAGACTGGGAACTGGGAGGAGAAAGAGCCCCACCGTGTTGCTGTACCCACTTGGAGTAGAGCTCCCATTATGATGAGCTGAAGGGTGGGCAGACGGAGCAGCTTGTGGGTGGGACAAGTGCCACAGATTTGCTGTTTTCACTGAGACTTAGATTTTCTCTTCTTTTTTTTAAAAAAAATAGTATTGATTTGAGAGAGAAACATCGATTAGTTATTCCGCTTATTTATGCATTCATTGGTTCATTCTTGTATATGCCCTGACTGGGGATCGAACTGGAAACCCTGGCATATCGGGATGATTCGCTAACCAACTGAGCTACCCGGCCAGGGCTAAAACACAGATTTTCTTTTTTTTTTTTTTTTTTTAATTGCTTAAATTATTACAAAGAGTATTACATGTTTCTCCTTTTTTTTCAACACAGATTTTCTTGATTAAATGTTTCTCCACTTGCTATACGTCCTTAGGAGAATTTTCAGAGACTTTAAATGGTTGGGTTTAATGGTGGAGTTTTTTAAATCATTTCGGTTGTTTCACCGGGGAGAGTGCCCGTGGAGCTCCTCACACCAGCATTCCAAAAGCGCTCACGTGTCCTGTGAGCTGACTGTCAATAAACTGTGAGCAGCTGCACATTGGTTTGAAAGCTTTAGGCTAGCAGTTATGTAACCATCTCAACTATTATTGTAAAAATTACTAATTATTGTCATCATTTCTTTTTTTCATACATTATTTTTCCAAAGAACTTGAATGCTCCTTGAAGATAAGGACAGTCTACTTATAAACCTATTAATTTGGCTTGTAGAATCGCACATGCACCATTCACATGAAAGAATACATCAAATTTAAAGGAAAGAAGATGGAAGAAGGAGAAGTGGAGTAGGGGTGAAGCACCGTTAACTACGGAGAGCACTCTATATGAGTCATTCATTAAATAATCCAGGCCCATTTCCTAGGGCTGGAAAATATGCTCCCATGTTATTAGATGGGGATTTATGTCGCAGAAAGAGTCCAAAATACAACACACTGGAAGCTCCAGAGCTTGAGAGTCAGAGAAAACCAAGTTCAAATCTTGGCTCTACTATCAACTGATGGTATGGCCATGCGCAAATCACAAACCCCTTTAAGCCATAGTTCCTCTCTCTGGAATAAATAGAATCACCACCACTACTACCCTCTTACCACTATTTTTAAAAATTATAGAGACATTGTTACGAAATGTCTGAAATGTGTCAAAAGTAATCCAGTGAGAGACATGAGAAGGGTAGAAATTAAACAAAACTGGCCATTGTGGATGACTACTGAAGCTATGTGATGGCACCTGAGGCCCTATTATTACTATGCTCTCTACTTCTATGTATGTTCAGAATTTCAATAGTCAAAGATGTCCAGTGCAAAAGATATTATCGTTAGGTAGTGTGGGTGTAACATGAAAGTTAATAGTACATTTACAATTTTTAATAATCTCAGTTTTTCAAAAAGATCTCTTATGTTGTCCTGGCCAGTAGCTCAGTTGGTTGGAGTGTCATCCTGAACACCCAAAGGTGGCAGATTCCATTCCCGGTCAGGGCACACACCCAGGCTACAGGTTCAGTCCCCAGTCGGGATATGTAAGGAGGCAACCCATTGATGTTTCTCTCTCACATCAGTATTTCTTTCTCTCTTTCTCTCTCTCTCTCTCTCTCTCTCTCTAAAAAAAAAATCTATGAGAAACATATCCTCGGGTAAGAATTTAAAGCAATTTTTAAAAATATATCTCTTATGCTTCAAAGTTTCCTGGACTCTAACTATTAATCTTGAAAATAAAATAAAGGGAAATAAAACACACAAATGCAGGAATCATTATAAAGTGACTTGTTGATTGCCTGTTCCCTTCCCAATAAAGAGAATACACAATATGCCTATGCTCTGAAAAATGAGCCAGCATTTCATTTAAAAAAAAAACAACAGTAATCCAAGCTCACCAGTATTTCGGGCTTTCCCTCCGTTTTCTGGAGCCGGTCAGTATCATTAGAAGGCAAACCTCGGGGAAGAAAAAGCAGCTGTGAGGAAGCAGGCCTCCCATGATGCTCCCAGAGTAGCTCCTCTAAGCCTTGTGATGGGGGAAGCAGTCCCTTTACTCAGCTGAGGCCACTAGAGCTCAGCTGAACCCGGAGCCTTGCTCTCCCTCTTCATCTCCACACTCCCAACAACTCTCACCTTTTGCCTTATGACTCTGAGTCCATTTCTTCATGGTCTGCATAGCTTCCCTGCTCGCCAAAGGCAAACTCTCTTCCCTGTCCTGCCCTCCCCAGGCAGGGGGTCAGGCAATGTCAGGGCCCGAGTCAGCCCCGTGTTTGCCTTGGAATTCTACCAGAAGTCCAGATAGAAGCCATTTCATCGCAAGATCGAGCTCCACTGCCTGAAGTGACTTCTCTGAACCTTACTTGTAAACGCCCATCTTGTTTCCATGAAGCCAGGACCTGTGGGATGGAGAAGAAATTGGACGTTGCCAGGATCTTTAATGGAGGCCCTAAGCCCAGGCCTCCTCACGGGGGTCCTGTCCTCTCACATCTTCCTCATTCAACAAATATGGAGTCTCAGTCCATGGGGGGCGTTCCTTGGATTTTTTCCCCCAAAAAATATATTTTTATTTATTTCAGAGAGATAGAAACATCAATGATGAGAGAGCATCATTGATCGGCTGCCTCCTGCACGCCCCCCACTGGGGACAGAGCCCGGGCATGTGCCCCGACCAGGAATCAGAACTGTGACCTCCTGGTTCACAGGTCGATGCTCAACCACAGAGCCACGCTGGCCGGGCTCCTTGGATATTTTTTTTTTTACCTCATTCCTTTCCAGCTCTCAAGTCTGTTCCCTGCCACTCTCCCTTATGTGACAAAATTGGCAATTCCCTCCCGCCCCCACACCTCAGATTCAAGCTCCATGTGTTCTATACAATCTCTGCCACTTGGAGCCTGAGTCAGAGAGAAGACATAGCATAATGCCTATGGAATGTCTCCTTCCAGACCAATTGGGGCATTCAGAACTCCCCTCCTGCTGTTCTGAATGTATTCCATCCCCTACATCCCAGTACTCTTGGGGGGGGGGGGGGGGGGTGCGGGGGGGACCATGTCTAAACTAAGTCCTTCTTACTTTAGGTAGAGCTCCAAATCTCACAGTGACTCTGTACAGATACCCTCCCACACACACACCTTCTTTTCTGCACATGTATGCCACAAGGCCTCATCAGTGATGTGCATGGGTGTCTCCTGATGGGCCCAATCCGAAGTCCTCCACCCACGTGGTCCCAAGGAGGCAGGTGATGTTAGGAGCTATACCACCTTCAGAAGCAACTCAGACACCCTGTCCAGAATCTCAGTCCAAGTGACTGCAGTTCTGCTGTTGCCAAGTTCCCTTCTGAGACTAGCTAGGGCTCCTCTAAGAAGCCCTTTTGATTCATCCCCTAACAACACAGGTAGAGATGGTCACTCACTCTTCTGTCCAATCTGGGCATCTCACCTTAATCACACCATCTTGCAATTTTTCTATGTCTATGACTCTCTTTACTAGAATTCGAGCTTCTAATAAGAAGAAATGCATCTCAGGAGTTTCGCTACTCCTAGTGATTAGAATAAAACAGTCCTTTGTGGTAGATTTGATCATTGTTCCCAATTATTTGCTTCTCTCTAAAAGGACTGTACTTCCTGCCCGTGACATCAGGGCTTGCCTTAGACAATGAAAAGTGAGAGAAAGTGACATGCCGCTTCTAAGCATTGCATGATTCAACCATCTCTCATGTTCTGAGAGCAGCATGTTTCCAAGAATGGCCTTCCTTCTACTATAAAAGGTCATGGTGCTGAGCCAACCTACAAAGGAGGAGGGATCAGACTAGGTTTAAGGTTAGATTGTGGGTCACTGAGATATGGGAGTCATGTGTTACTGGAGTACAACTTAGCCTAAGCTGATAAATACAGCCCTTTTCCTCCCACGAATGCTAGTATTTATAGTTAGTATTTATAAAACAGGTACTGTACAGAGTTCTATGAATCTTCACAACACAGCCAAGAGGTAGACACTTCTATCCTTCCCATCTCACAGAGGAGGAAACTAAGGCATAAGAGGTCCGTTTACTTGTTTTAAGATCACACAGCGACCCAGTATCAAAGCCAAGCCTAGAATCCAAAATTTTCATTCCAAAGCCCTTTTTCTTCACCATTCCCTAAAATAATGCCCAGTGAGCAAATACCTTTAGACGTTTATAGATATTATTTTAAAAATCAGGACATTATAAGTACAATCATTCTGCATGTAAGAAGAGAAAGGAAAGAAAAAAAACTGGCAAAATCCTATTAAAGACAATCTAAAAATTTTATGTCCTAAGACAGGGGTCCCCAAACTTTTTAAACAGGGGGCCAGTTCACTGTCCCTCAGACCGTTGGAGGGCCGGACTATAGTTGAAAAAAAAACTATGAACAAATTCCTATGCACACTGCACATATCTTATTTTGAAGTAAAAAAACAAAACGAGAACAAATACAATATTTGTATTTGCATGTGGCCTGCGGGCCGTAGTTTGAGGACCCCTGTCCTAAGACCTTATCTTGGTAAATACTGGATTGGAAACTTCAAAATACAGCCACAAAGAAATGTAGGCCAAACTCCATTTTCAGCCAAGGTCCTACCAAACTGCTGCCAACCCTCAAGGAAATTATAAGCTAAAAAAATTACAGTGGCCCTAACCGGTTTGGCTCAGTGGCTAGAGCGTCGGCCTGCGGACTCAAGGGTCTAGGGTTCAATTCCGGTCAAGGGCATGTACCTTGGTTGTGGGCACATCCCCAGTGGGGGATGTGCAGAAGGCAGCTGATGGATGTTTCTCTCTCATCGATGTTTCTAACTCTCCATCCCTCTCCCTTGCTCTCTGTAAAAAAAAAAAAAAAAAACAGTAAAATATATTTTAAAAAAATTACAGTGGCTACTATGAAGAACATTCCAATTAGATTAGACCATTTAAAAGTGCACTTAAAAGCAAGGGCTTCTCAATCAGATATACAGAATGGGGGACTATAATGACTCACCAGCATAACAATATGAGAGCTCTCTAAAAAAAAAAAAAAAGTCTCTTTTTTTCAATTTACAAGTTTTTCCAGTTCAAAAGATCCATCATCGCCAGAATGGCATGGCTCAGTGGTTAAGTGTCGACGTATGAACCAGGAGGTCATGCTTCGATTCCTGGTCAGGACATATGCCCGGGTTTCAGGCTTGATCCCCAGTTGGGATGTGTAGGAGGCAGCCAATCAATGATTCTCTCTCATTATTGATGTTCTATTTCTCTCCCTCTCCCTTCCTCTCTGAAATCAATAAAAATATATTTAAAAGATCCATCATCATCATCAGATCTTGACATGTAGAAACTTAGCCACTCAAACCAAGAAGCCTTTTTTATGGCTTCATCAAGAGCCACACAAGAGTATAAAAAAGTGCAGCCCTGCCCTGGCTGGTTTGGCTCACTGGATAGAGCGTTGGCCTGGGGACTAAAGGGTCCCAGGTTTGATTCCGGTCAAGGGCATGTACCTTGGTTGCAGGCACATCCCCAGTAGGGGGTGTGCAGGAGGCAGCTGATCGATGCTTCTCTCTCATCGATGTTTCTAACTCTCTATCCTGCTCCCTTCCTCTCTGTAAAAAATCAATAAAATATAGATTAAAAAAAAAGTGCAGCCCTCACAAGAACCAAAAAGCCTCCAATGGGACAATGCAGGACTCAAGATGTCAGAATGAGCAGAGGAAATTCACACACAGTTTGGAGCAAAGAAAACACCCTAAGAACGTGAACAGTGTGTGGTGCCCCCTTAACGGGGCTGCCAGGAGCCCGTTTTCTCTATGCAATCCTCTCTGGGCAGCACGGATATGAGAACGTGGGCCTGAGGTTAAAACAGGAACTGTGAACCTCAGGACTGTCTCTCAGCCCCAGATACCAGGCTAGAAATCGCCAAGTCTGAAATAAGGGGTGCTCCTCTTCCTTTAAAAAAAAGCCTCAGACCTGCCAGAGAAGTAGACAGCTTCTGGGGGCAGAGTCAACAATGGGCATCAGAACACAGCCTGCCCTGATAGGCTGCTGTGAAGTAAGGAATCTCTTTCGCACTGTGGGAGAGGAAGAAACGTCCCTCTGCTGGCCTAATAATTAAATCTACAGGGGCAGATTCGATTAATAAGAGAAAATAACTGAATCTAATTACATACGGACATATGGAAACCGCGAATATAGGAGCGAGTCAGAGACACCCACACCCACACACTGAGGTTCAGAGACAGAAAGGAAAATGAGGTTCATATGGCATTCTGAGCTCAGGATGAGGTAAGGCATCACGGGGCTTCAGAGGGAGGAAGGTCATTTGCAGTACGATAAAGAGCAGATGTTCAGTAATCACAGGTTTGCCCTGCTCCATAGGTCATAAAAAGTTATTTCTGGTGATAACTCTGAATAGACAAGGTCCCAAGTTTAAATTCTTTAAGGGAGAGGTACAAGTTTCTTGTGAGTCCGCAGGGTCTCAAATGCCTTCACCTCAAAATAATTCACATGCCAAAGTAGCACATCTTAGGGGGACCTGTTTGAACCCTTCGTTGTCTATGGGCCTCAAGTTGTAATATCATTAGTAATATTTAACAATTACTAAAAACTCTTACTGTATACCAGGCTCTGTACAATTTTTACCTCCCAAAGGCCCCATGAGTTAGGTCTTGTGATAAACTGAGGCAGAGTTATGAATCTTGCTCATGTTGAAGAGCTAGAAAGTGCCTAGATTTGAGCTCTAGCCGTGGAGTCCCGTGTCCTTAGCCAGCTGTCAGTGGTAAGGTTAGTAGTGGCCAAGCCCTGTGGGGTGTGACTAGTCTCAAAGTGTATTCACACATAGGGTTGAGGAGATGCAAAGATTAGCAGTGAATTAATAAATGCTGGATCTGGTGATAGGTTCATGGGGTTCACGTACTGGGCAGGTTTAAAATCTGTCCTTACCAAAAATAAAAATAAAATGAAAGTTTAAGCCCTGATATCTAGGCCTCACCAGATGCCACAAGTGATTTGGATAGTCAGCCAACAGCCCTCAGAAGTTCCCACCCTACCTACATTCCCTAAGCCCGAATCCAGAGGTTAATTCCCTAAACGCTAATCCAGAGGTTTGACCCCAACACATGAGAGAAAAGCAGACAAGGAGAGGGAGAATCAGTAAAACTGGCCACGGGCATTTACAGCCAAACCGGGATCTTTGCCACAAAGCAGAGCGAGCCCCTGCCCCATGACAAGCCCCGGGACAACAGGTGCCCCTGAAGCAGTCTTATCCCCACTCAAAAAACTGCCTAAACGCAGGCCAAGGTCGGGTGGTACCCACCATCACCAGGTGTCCGTCCTAGGCCCAAACCTCCCCCACCCCTAAAGCCCCAGGACTCCAGACCCAAGACACTCCCCACGACCCCCTAGGGCCTAGGAGGTGTATTCTGCCCGCAGGAAGCTCACCACCCACCGCCCCCCACAAACCTAAGCACTGCGGGTCCTGAGATTCCCACCCCAACCCCGTCCCCACCCCATCACTACTTGAGCCACACTCAGCCCCACCAAAGCAAGCAAACAAACAAAAACCCAATTATTCATACTCACGACCCATCCTAGGTCCCCACAACCACTCGGACACGCAGGACCCAGGTAGGGGTTCCCTTGCTAGAAAGACGCGGGGAGCTATACGGCCGGATCCGCGCCCCAACCCCACCCCAGGGAATGCCTGGCTGAACTCGTGTGCACGGCCCAAATAAACCCCGGGGTGCTCGACTGCAGCCGCCTCCCTCTTCGTTAGTTGTCTGGCCCAGAATAAATAATCCCACCTCCTTCAAAAGAGAAACCACAGTTCCAGCTCAGTCGCCCCAGCCGGAGACGGAAGGTCCCCTAGCGCGCAGCACGGAGCGTCTCACCCCATTCCCCGCCCCCAAAGGCGCACCCGGGGCCGCGCCCCATTTCCAAAACGAAACCTCCCGGACTTGCGGCCACTCCTCCACCAGCCTCACTCCACCAGGTCCCTAACCCCGCGGGGCCCCGCTCCTCCTGCCAGCACCGCAAAGGGCCTCGGCGGTTCGCTCACCAGCGTCAGCCGGGTAGGTCCTCCCAGCCCTGCGCCGATCAACGGCGCCAGCACAGCTCCCAGCATCCCCGCAGGCTCCGCCCCCAATGGCCGCCCGGGGAGAGGCTGCGGCCACGAGGTTAATTTACTGGACAATGTCTGTTGCAGTGACAGCCTAACCGTCTCTTTTATTAAGATGCCCACGCACAAAACAGGCAGTGATGGCCGCGGCCGGGTGCTCAGTGGGTTAGCGCGTCCTCTCACCCGCCGAGGTTGCAGCTTCCCATCCCGCGTCAGGGCACATACAAGAGCCCATCAATGAAAAACAAACAACAACAAAATAATCAACCCACAAATGCATAAATAAGTGGAACAACAAACCGGCCTGAGGCAGGCCTCTCTCTAAAGTTAATTTTTTTAATAACCAAAAAATAAATAAGATAGGCAGTGGTTCCGCAGTGAAGTCTGTTCCTTCTACTCATCCGCTGGAAAGACTACACTTCCCAGAAATCTCTACGGCAGCTTCTGCAGAAGGGTTCCGCACCCCGCCCCTCCGGGGGGTGAAGAGTTCCGTGCAATAGAGGCATTTCCGGTTGACGGTAGGCTCGGTGGTCGGCAAATCGCGGCTCGCGAGCCACATGCGGCTCTTTGGCCCCTTGAGTGTGGCTCTTCAAAAAATACCACGTGTGGCGCGCACGTACAGTGCGATTGAAACTTTGTGTCCCATGTGCAGAAGTCGGTTTTCGGCCTGGGCGAGTCTATTTTGAAGAAGTGGCGTTAGAAGAAGTGAGGAGGTGTCGGTAGGGGGATGGGAGCCGGAGCGCAGGCGGGCATAGGCAGCGCGGGGGAGGCGCCAAATATCAACAGTACTTAAACTATATAGCAGTGGTTCCCAAACTTATTTGGCCTACTGCCCCCTTTCCAGAAAAAATATTACTCAGCGCCCCCTGGAAATTAATTTTTTTTAAATTTTAATAGCAATTAAACAGAAAGATATATGCCCCCAAATGCACCTGTGGCCATCACCGCCCCCCTGGATCGCTGCAGCGCCCACCAGGGGGCGGTAGCGCCCACTTTGGGAATCACTGCTATATAGGTAGGTTAATAACAATGTACCTACCTATATAGTTTAAGTTTAAAAAATTTGGCTCTCAAAAGAAATTTCAATCGTTGTACTGTTGCTATTTGG